TTCGATTAACATATTGTAACTTCAGATTTTCTGTTTCTTCAAACTTCATTGTGATTTCCGCTTGCTCTAGTTTGTCTACTAGTTTTCGAAAATCTAAATCGGGTTCTCGAATTGAGGAAGGATGAGATGCTCTCTTTTTTATTGCTATTTTCCTTAATTGAGGTGTTAAGGTCATCATTAAAATTTCTGTCATCTTTGTGTTTTTGTAGTCATGTGTATTTAATGAATATGCTTTTCGAACTAGTGTTTCGATACGTACTGCTAATTGTTTGATGGTTTCATTTGGTAATCTACGAATTTCATTACATAAAACTCTTTGGTCTTGTTTATTTCTTTCGGAGTCAAACATTTTTGAAAATTCTTGTGTAAATCTTTTCCAATTTGATTTTATTTCTATTGGCAATACTGAAAACCATTTTTGGGCTGCGCCATCTAAGGTTGTTTCTATCAACGCTGTGCGTCGATGTATCCAATTTTGATGTAGTGGTGTATTAATTGGTTCAGGTCCTATATTTAAAATTAAATTTGCTGTTACTGCATTTAAATAATCTTCTACAGAATATTCAGGGTCTGTTCCTGTGAATACCATTAATGGTTTGTTTGATGTTATTGATGATCCACCCATAAGGTATGGATTCATTGTCATTTGTAGTGATTCTGCGGCATTTGGCATTTGTGAAAAATTTGAAAGTTGATTTTTTGTTATTTCGTGTTGTTGAAGGTAATATGGGAGTGGTATTTCATTTTGCATTTGAGTTGGTTGATACGAGTGTGTAAACATTGGGTTTTGTGGCTGAATTGGTTGAAAAGATTGTGTATTAGTTGGGTTTTGCATTTGTATTGGTTGTTGATTTTGTGTATCTGTTGGATGTGGAGAAAAAATTCTATGATATGTATGTGGTTTTTGCACTCCTTGTCCGCGATATTCTTGAGTATATGGTGCAAATATATCTGGTTGTAAATAATCATCATCGGAGGATAAATAATCCGTATGATGAGGTGCTTGCTTTTTATTTTTATTTTGTTGAAAGAATGGGTAATTTTCACCACGATCCTGTGGATGTGAGTTAGTTTGAAAATTTACTGAGTTGGTTGTTGCCATTGGGTTATCCCAATATTGAGATCTTATCTGATTATTATTATTTTTTCGTGGGGGATAGTTTGTTTTTGATGAATGTGCGTAATTATAATTGTGTTCTGCAAAAGTGTTTCTTGTGAACGTTCTTCGTGTTTTTGACGGTACTGTCATAGGTCTATATGTTTGATAATCCATTTGTGAATATTTTGGAGCAACCGAAGGTTTAACGGTTGATTGTAAAGTTACTTGTGCTAGTGAAGTGTTTGTATTTTTTGGTGTTGTTAAATTTGGACGTATCGGTGAAATACTTTGTTGTGTAGTTGTTGTTGTTTGGACGATTTCTTCATTTATGAAGTGTGATGGTGTTTGAATATCTTGTTGTGTAAGATTCCTAGTTCCATTTAGGTTTGCGTTGTGTATGACGGTTGAACGGTGTTGCATCAATGGTTAAAGGTACTACTCTTACATAATCTCTTGTATAAGATATTGTACTTATTGCTTGACTTGAGATTGATTGTGGGATATTTATGAATGCATGATGAGACCATTCGGGGTCCCAAACGTAGTCTGATTGTTCTGTGACGGCGGTATCATCGTTTGAATTTTGAGGTCTGAAATTTTTTCTTGCTTGTGAAATTAAATCTATATTATGTGTGAAATAATCTATTGTAAACCATGCCAAAATTTTTTGTAAGTCATGTTTTGTATGTTGTGAAACTTCGTCTTTAGTAAAATTTTCTTTAATTATATGTAGGAAAGTTGTAAATAGTGTGATTTCATGTCGTACCTTTATATGTTTGGATGTCTCCGTCGGTGAGACATTTGGGATTGGGATTTCATTTTCTAATATTGAAATATAACTATATATTATTGCAAAAACTTCATTAGTAAATATGGAGTTTGCTCTTTGTGAGTTATGATATTGTATGCTTTTTATATATTCTAAGAATACTTTTGAAAATTCTAAGTCAAGATCGTCTGTTTGAATTACATATTTGTGGTGATTCGGGTTTGGTGTACTGAATTCTATGGTGTAGATTCCGTATTGTTGTGTTAAATTACATATATCTTTCAGGTAATGATCAATAATTTGTCTTTTGATTTTTACATCTGGGAACTCTGCTTTACATGGGCTAATTCCGGGTTCAAACAAATTTAGGAGTAAGTTCTTGCAAAGATCGTGTTGTCCTCTATTATCGGGTGCATCTACGAGGAAGGGGTAGATATCGTCGTCATCTGGACTATCTTCACTTGGAGTGTGTGTTTCGCTCATTTTTTCGTTTAATGACTGTTAATAAGTAACTATCGATGTGTCTAATTGGTTGATTCCAATTATACAAGTGTACTGGTTTGTGTTTATATTGTTTTTTATTCTTCTTTTTCCTCTTTTTGATGAATTTGAAGTTGTTTCTGAGTCGGAAAAATATAATTGATCGTGAATGGGACAATTTTTATCAATTGATTCTTTTAATTTATAAAGTTCATCTAAATTGCTGGCTTCTGATTCTGAAAATGCGTTTCTATTTTTTGAAAATCTTTTTCGTGTGATTTGTCTTTGTTTGTTTATTATTTTTCTTTTTATTGTTAGTCGTTTTGTTCTAATATATCCAACTGTTTGTGTATGAGGTGTGATTACAAGATCGTATTTTTTGTTATCTATTTCACAGTTGTGTAAAACAATTGTTTGTTTATTTCCTAGATTTTTAAATGACATAAGGTTTAGGATGAGGGATGCAAAAAGTTGTTAGATGATTTCTACTTTCTTAAACTGTTAGTCCTTACGATTTTTTTTGGTTAGCTTAACCTGGGTCTATTTGTTCAGGGTTGGAGAGAAAGATATATCGATTCCAAAGAATGATTTTTTACTTTCTCGTGGCTAATATAAGCTAAGGTGTTAACTTACTTAATCTTACTTAGGGGTAGTGATTGTGTTCAAGGGTTGGAGAATAGTAAATCGATCCACAAGGTTCAGGTATAATTAGAACGCAAGTAGTTCGTTAGATACTATTTTAAACTTACTAAGTCTAAGATTTATCCTGGGTCTGGTAAGAGGAGGGTTCAAGTGAAGGATGAATAACCGAAGTTCTTCACTGTTTATCCTAATTTGAATGATTAGTTTTGTTCAAAAATTTCTATTAGTCTTAGGTTTTTTGAAAGGGTTGGATAGTGAATCGACGTTTGAGGTCGTTAGACACTTGCTAAGTGGGTGGGGGAGAACAAAATTGTTCTTTTTGATCCAAGGATAGGCCTTGATGATCAAGTTTTAAATTTAGTGAAATAGAAAATTAATTAAGATCCAAGGATAAGCCTTGATGATCTGATTTTAAAATTAAGTGAATTTAAGTTTAAAATGGTTTAAATTTGTTTAAGAAAAAGATTTAGTGTTTTAATGATATTAGTGAGCTTATGATTGCTGTTATGTTTAGGTGATGAAGCTGGGATAACTGATGATTTTATGATTAGTAACAATTTATTGTCATGCTACTAATTTTTGTTTTGATTTTCAATAAATATTTTCCAAACATGTTTTATATAATACTGCAGAATTTAGGAAAACGATCTGAGATCTTTTTATCAATCGTTATTGTATATTAATAATTTTGTTTAGCGCCTGAAATGATCATGAAGATTGACTTCAAGATTTAATGTTTGCAAATGAAAATCTAAATTCATTGCTAATAAAATTCTAAATATAAAAGTTTGTGTTGGCTTTTGCCGTACTATCATATAACTATATGGTAAGTTTCTACTTTGTCGTATGTCATCTCTGGTTCGAGGTCTTCTTACGATTCCGGCTAGTTCTGTTATCGTTCGGAATATTGGCTCTGATCTATTGAGTCGTAGAGACATTTCGATTAAATTATCGTCGTATAACATTTTGAAAATGTTTTGTCTAAATTCTAATCTATTTTTGGTTAATTCTAAGCTATTAAGGTCTTGTTCGAGACTTATGGTCGCACCAGATGAGTTAGGACCGATGTGGTTAACTCATAGAGTAATTTCGGATAGGGTACACCGTCTGCTCGTCACACTATCTTATTTTCGGCCGGATAGATTCGTGCAACTTCTTAGTCTAATACCGATCCTAATCTTACTCTTATACTATCTAGTCTCAGGTTGTTTAACTAGTCTCTGCTAGGCTCAATAGATCTAGGGTATACTGGTTTATTGCGGCTGCTGAAGTTCTCTTGGAGAGGCAACTAATTTCTAAGTTAAATTCAAATCTCTCTGGTGCTGAAATTACAAGTAATTTCAGCACTTACAAATAAGTGGGTTGTTAGTTAGATGGATCATGATTGGTTAATATTAAATACTTTACAGTGGTAAAATATCTAATTTATCCAATCATAAAATATAGTTTAGATCAGGTTCCACTAATAACATAGCCAATAGATTGGAAAAGAGTAATGAACGCAAGTTAACATGAAAAAAAAAAACATTCGGAAATCAAAGAAATGGATGCCCTTTGAGTTTGAGCTCTTTGAATTTCTAGAACGATTTATGACTGGCGATTTTCTGATAACCTTGACCCAATTTGAGAAAACTGGATCAATAGGTAAAGCTTTTATTCCGCTGGAAATCTAAAAATTAAATTCCAGTTTTGAAACTAGAAACCGTTCACGTTTTTTCGCGCCATTTCCACGTTCGTTTTTGGAGAGTGCTAATTACGTCTCTTTCAGTAGATGAATTTCAATTGAACTCATAAAATGCATATATACCTAAGTGCATTCATAAATGCATCAATGTGTATGAATGCACATCTGTAGTTATTAAAGCATTTTTTCAGATTTTTTTCTGAAAAAAAAAACCAAATAGCAAGACCTATATTAGAGTATTCACTACGTTCTTCACTCTTAATAGACAATGCTCAAATTGAACCTCATTCAATTGTTGACCCAAACACGTACAACTGTGCACTCACTGTCTGTGGGTCATTGAGGAATATCTTGGTGGTGCCCAGAGCAATCTCCCTCTCGCCCGTCTGCAGATGCACCGCTTTCAGAATCCTCACTGCACCGTCCTTAGGCGCTCCCTTCCATTTGGGCCAAGTGTGACTCGACAGCATTCTGTATCTGTTACAAGCAATCCATGTTCATTAATTCAAACAAACACTTTTCAAATTATGCAAACGGACCAAGGCTGCTGGTCTTTTCTGTTGCAGGGCCCAAAAACGCTCGCTTTATTTTGAAAATTATCATAATATTCAATTTGATTTTTGACAAAATTTCCAGCAAAAGAAAAATTTTATCTATCATTGCAAACAGAAGCTCAATAAATATAACCAATTGACAGTTGGAAAATTGTAATGAACGCAAGGAAACAGAAAAAATACAGGCTTGTTCTTGGAAAAAACTTCAACTTTCGAATTTTAAGAAAAAATATATGCCCTTACAGCTCTTTAAATTTCATAAACATTTTATGCTTGGTGCTTTTTTGATAGAATTAATCCAACCACCAGAAGAATCAAAGCGTGACTATAGCATAGCACAGCATCGAAAAACTGGATTTGTTTACCTCTGCACAAATGCCTCGTACTTCTGTCTGTAGGCGAAGCCAGCGCGCCGCACTTGCACATTCTCGACCAATCTACAGCATGAAAATATTTTGTCATTTCGAAGTCAAATTTGCATAGAACACCAAAAAAATATACAAATAACAAAAAACTGACTAATTTCTAAACAAACCTATTTATTTAATTAAGGTAATCTGATAAAATCCCTGGTAATTTGGTAGCCATCAATAGTTTTCAACCCTACCACACATTTTTTTCTGAACTTTAGTCATGTTTTTTTCTCTTTAAAGCCCAAATCAATTTTTACTAAAAATAAGATTCGATTAACAAAAACACTGACGAAGAATTAAGCTAATGAACAGCAACGTATTTCAACTGTCCAATTTACACAAATCACGTTTACAACTCATCCACATCTTACCCCAAATATCGCACTTGAGCAGTCACAGTTTCGTCCACAAAATTTCTCGGAGACTTAGTTGCATTTGGATTAATACATCTGACGTAGTGCGGATTCTTGAGCTTCAGACTTGACAATAACTCATGCATCGAGGCCTTAAATTCAAGAAAATATTCAACGAGCCACCTATTAATCCCTTAATTAACCCCAAATTTTTACATTAAAAACGTTCGATACAGATTCCAGTAATAGCATTATCTTGATGAACCAAATCAAAAAGCAACATACCAAACGTCAAGTCAAGTTGTACTATAGAACTAAGAAAAATTCTATATAAAAAACGTTTTGCTGCACGCAGTCCGTCCAATCATAGGAAGCAAAAAAAAAGATCATACTGATTGCAATGTTGCAATTTCCTTTCTGATTTGACACCAGTAAAAACAGTTCGGAGAGAAAATATTTCGAAGGATCTATAAATGGTATGAAAAAAAATTTTCACCAAGTGCTTTACTCAACGCAAACTACATTGCTGAATAGTTCCAGTCCCGCTCGTCTTCTACACAAAAAATAACATTTCAGACATGCTAACAAAATCTGTAAATGGACCAGAGAAGTCAACATTTTGTTGATCTGAGCAGTCCATCCAGAGAAAGCAAAGTGTATTAACGGTTACGTTATTCAACAATTTGTCTGATTTGACACCTCAAGATCCAAGATTTTAGGTAGTGAAAAAAGGAATGCTATGGCAGAAAAAATCAGATGAAAATCAAACAGTGGACTTTGTAAATAATGAGGTGAGCTCACCTTTTTCGCAAAGAGCGCAAAACTCAACGAAAACAACATTGATTGACAACTTTAGTCATAATTAAAAGAAACAAGAAGTAAAAAGACCAGCAACAAGTCCGACAATTTGAGAACAGAAAACAACTATAAAACTTACCGCCAAAAATACAAAAGCCAAAATATCTAAACTGTGAGCAGTCCAAACAGAAACAGAAAAGCCAAAAACTTCAAATCGCACTTTAAGAGGAATCAAGAAGCAACATATGAGACAGTGAAAAAGAAATATTACAGTAGTTCAATTGAGAAAATCAACATTTCAACTTTTCTCTGCTGTGAGCAGTCCACATAGAGAAAGCTAACGTTTGTTATCTAATTAATCTTCAAAAAGAAAGAAGCAACAAGTCATACACTTTGAGAGCAGAATATAACTATAGAACTTACATCTGATAAAAGCAAAAACAGCATCTTCGCTGTAGAGCAAAGCAACCAGAGATACTAAACGTTTTATCGGTTGAATCGTTCTATAATTTCTGTCTGCTTTGACACCTCAAGATACATCAGGAAGCAACATTTCAGACAGTGAAAATGAAATATTACAGTAGTTCAATTGAGAAAATCAACATTTCAACTTTTCTCTGCTGTGAGCAGCCCACATAAAGAAAACTAAAACTTGTTATCTGTTATATTGATCAGTTGTTAGTATAAAAGAGTTAACATGAGAGATATGACAGCAAAACTTTTACAAAAATCGAGTAACCGATATTTTAATTCGTGGATGTAATCTAATTTTTCAAAATGAACTTGAAACTCAATGCAAACTATATTGATGAATGGTGTAGGTCCTATATACCTTCAAAATTAATCAAGAAGTAAGATTTCGGACACCTCATTTTTACGAACTTCAAACTTCAGTGTCTGCTTTGACATTTCTGTTTGTTTTGACACTTCACGAAAAAACGAAAGGCAACATATCAGACAGTGAAACAGAATCTTACAGCGAACAGAAAAACCAAAAGGAGGAAGTTAATAAGTAGTGAGGTTTGACCAATTTTTTTCACAAAGAGCTTTAAGCTCAAAGCAAATTTTAATGATGAATAGCTTCTGTCAAATTAATCTTCAAAAAAACAGAAGCAACAAGTCATACACTTTGAGAGCAGAAAATAACTATAGAACTTACATCTGATAAACAAAAACAACATCTTTGCTGTAGAGCAAAGCAACCAGAAAAACTAAACGTTTTATCGGCTGAATCAATCTATAATTTCTGTCTTCTTTGACACTTTGACAAGATACATCAGGAAGCAACATTTCAGACAATGAAAATGCAATATTACAGTAGTTCAATTGAGAAAATCAACATTTCAACTTTTCTCTGCTGTGAGCAGCCCACATAGAGAAAGCTAACGTTTGTTATCTGTTATATTGATCAGTTGTTAGTATAAAAGAGTTAACATGAGAGATATGAAAGCAATACTTTTACAAAAATCGAGAAACCGATATTTTAATTCGTGGATGTAATCCTTTTTCACAATGAACTTGAAACTCAATGCAAACTATATTGATGAATGGTGTAGGTCCTATATACCTTCAAAATTAATCAAGAAGTAAGATTTCGGACACCTCATTTTTATCAACTTCAAGCTTCACTGTCTGCTTTGACATTTCTGTTTGTTTTGACACTTCACGAAAAAACAAAATACAAACTATCAGACAGTGAAACAGAATCTTACAGCGAACAGAAAAACCAAAAGGAGGGAGTTAATAAGTAGTGAGGTGTGACCAATTTTTTTTCACAAGAAGCCTTAAGCTCAAAGCAAAATTTATTGATGAATAGCTTCTGTCCAATTAATCTTCAAAAAAAAGAACAACAAGTCATACACTTTGAGAGCAGAATAAAACTATAGAACTTACATCTGATAAAAGCAAAAACAACATCTTCGCTGTAGAGCAAAGCAACCAGAGAAACTAAACGTTTTATCGGTTGAATCGTTCTATAATTTCTGTCTGCCTTGACAACTCAAGATACATCAGGAAGCAACATTTCAGACAGTGAAAATGAAATATTACGGAAGTTAAATTGAGAAAATCAAAATTTCAACGTTTCTCTGCTGTGAGCAGTCCACATAGAGAAAGCTAACGTTTGTTATCTGCTAAATTGATCAGTTGTTAGTATAAAAGAGTTAACATGAGAGATTTGAAAGCAAAACTTTTTCAAAAACCGAGTAATAGATATTATAATTTGTGGATGTAACCTACTTTTTCACAAGGAGCTTGAAACTCAATGGAAACTACATTGATGAATGGTGTAGGTCCTATATGTCTTCAAAATTGATCAAGAAGCAACATTTCCAACACCTCATTTTTTTCGACTTCAAACTTCAGTGTCTGCTTTGACATTTCTGTCTGCTTTGACACTTCACGAAAAAACAAAAGGCAAAATATCAGACAGTGAAACAGAATCTTACAGCGAACAGAAAAACCAAAAGGAGGAAGTTAATAAGTAGTGAGGTTTGACCAATTTTTTTCACAAAGAGCTTTAAGCTCAAAGCAAATTTTATTGATGAATAGCTTCTGTCCAATTAATCTTCAAAAAAACAGAAGCAACAAGTCATACACTTTGAGAGCAGAAAATAACTATAGAACTTACATCTGATAAACAAAAACAACATCTTTGCTGTAGAGCAAAGCAACCAGAAAAACTAAACGTTTTATCGGTTGAATCAATCTATAATTTCTGTCTTCTTTGACACTTTGACAAGATACATCAGGAAGCAACATTTCAGACAATGAAAATGCAATATTACAGTAGTTCAATTGAGAAAATCAACATTTCAACTTTTCTCTGCTGTGAGCAGCCCACATAGAGAAAGCTAACGTTTGTTATCTGTTATATTGATCAGTTGTTAGTATAAAAGAGTTAACATGAGAGATATGAAAGCAATACTTTTACAAAAATCGAGAAACCGATATTTTAATTCGTGGATGTAATCCTTTTTCACAATGAACTTGAAACTCAATGCAAACTATATTGATGAATGGTGTAGGTCCTATATACCTTCAAAATTAATCAAGAAGTAAGATTTCGGACACCTCATTTTTATCAACTTCAAGCTTCACTGTCTGCTTTGACATTTCTGTTTGTTTTGACACTTCACGAAAAAACAAAATACAAACTATCAGACAGTGAAACAGAATCTTACAGCGAACAGAAAAACCAAAAGGAGGGAGTTAATAAGTAGTGAGGTGTGACCAATTTTTTTTCACAAGAAGCCTTAAGCTCAAAGCAAAATTTATTGATGAATAGCTTCTGTCCAATTAATCTTCAAAAAAAAGAACAACAAGTCATACACTTTGAGAGCAGAATAAAACTATAGAACTTACATCTGATAAAAGCAAAAACAACATCTTCGCTGTAGAGCAAAGCAACCAGAGAAACTAAACGTTTTATCGGTTGAATCGTTCTATAATTTCTGTCTGCCTTGACAACTCAAGATACATCAGGAAGCAACATTTCAGACAGTGAAAATGAAATATTACGGAAGTTTAATTGAGAAAATCAAAATTTCAACGTTTCTCTGCTGTGAGCAGTCCACATAGAGAAAGCTAACGTTTGTTATCTGCTAAATTGATCAGTTGTTAGTATAAAAGAGTTAACATGAGAGATTTGAAAGCAAAACTTTTTCAAAAACCGAGTAATAGATATTATAATTTGTGGATGTAACCTACTTTTTCACAAGGAGCTTGAAACTCAATGGAAACTACATTGATGAATGGTGTAGGTCCTATATGTCTTCAAAATTGATCAAGAAGCAACATTTCCAACACCTCATTTTTTTCGACTTCAAACTTCAGTGTCTGCTTTGACATTTCTGTCTGCTTTGACACTTCACGAAAAAACAAAAGGCAAAATATCAGACAGTGAAACAGAATCTTACAGCGAACAGAAAAACCAAAAGGAGGAAGTTAATAAGTAGTGAGGTTTGACCAATTTTTTTCACAAAGAGCTTTAAGCTCAAAGCAAATTTTATTGATGAATAGCTTCTGTCCAATTAATCTTCAAAAAAACAGAAGCAACAAGTCATACACTTTGAGAGCAGAAAATAACTATAGAACTTACATCTGATAAACAAAAACAACATCTTTGCTGTAGAGCAAAGCAACCAGAAAAACTAAACGTTTTATCGGTTGAATCAATCTATAATTTCTGTCTTCTTTGACACTTTGACAAGATACATCAGGAAGCAACATTTCAGACAATGAAAATGCAATATTACAGTAGTTCAATTGAGAAAATCAACATTTCAACTTTTCTCTGCTGTGAGCAGCCCACATAGAGAAAGCTAACGTTTGTTATCTGTTATATTGATCAGTT